ATATATATATATATATATACACAGACAAAAAAGTGTGCTTTGGAAGTTGCTCTTTTTTGTTTACATGTTGTTTGACTAATGAGATTTGATTAGTGTTGAAGTTCAAACTATTTTTTTTTTAATATGCTCCCTATTCATTAACATCAACTCTTAATTACTATTGTAAACTCGACCAAACTATTTATTTATTTTCCTGTCTCAAGGGCACCATCACCAACAAAACGAAAGGAAGATGAGAAAACAAAAGATAGAGGTAAAGAGAAGACTGGTACCAAGGAAGGAGAAAAGGAGAGAGGACGGGATAAAGTAAGGAAACGTCGCAGCGCCTCTTCTGGCAGCAGCAGCAGCAGGTTTGCTTTCTATTGCCATCTTTTTAAGATTTATGCTCATATCAGAAGTAAAGTTCGATCTGGCTGTTTTCTAACTAACTGTTTTTCTTTGTTCTCATTGTGATCCAGATCTAGCTCATCATCCAGCAGCAGCTCTGGTTCCAGCTCTGGTTCCTCAAGTGGATCCAGCTCCTCTGGTTCTAGCCGCTCCGGGTCTTCAAGCTCTCGATCATCTTCTTCTTCGAGCTCTTCGGGCTCTCCAAGCCCCAGCCGCAGGCGCCATGACAACCGCAGACGCTCCCGCTCGCCGTAAGTCCTCTTGTTGATGTCAGCTCAGCATATTTTGCAAAATGTATTGTTTTGTAGTTGCATTTATTTGAAACATAATATGGTTTATTCATTGTTTTGTCATTTTCCTAGCTCTAAAACACAGAAGAGGGGAGAGGACAAGGAACGACGAAAACGAAGCCCCACCCCTAAACCAACCAAGGTTCACTTAGGAAGGCTGACCAGGAACATAACCAAGGTTAGAAAACAGTTTGTTTTTCTTTTGAGAGCTACAATCGTAAACATGGCTAAGTGGCAGCATTTTTAAGATGCTAAATAAATGAGGAAAAATCAGACTTTTTATATTATGGTTTAGTTTAGATTTATAGAAAATTCAAATAATAATAAAAAAATAATTCTGAGGTGACACTATGAGGTTGCATTGAGCAAACTGGGGAAACAAGAAGCCTGTTTCATTTGTTATGAAAAAAGTTTAATTTATTTATTTATTTTCAAATTTTTTTTTTCTTTTTCAAAATTCCTGAGTCTTTGTTTTTATCTAACAGGAGCACATCCAGGAGATCTTTTCTACTTACGGGAAAATAAAACAGATTGAGATGCAGATAGATAGGCTCCACCCACACCTGAGTAAAGGCCGTGCTTATGTGGAGTTTGAGAACCCCGAGGAGGCTCAGAAGGCCCTCAAACACATGGACGGAGGTTCGTCTTACTGCCGCCTTATTGCAGAATTCATCTGGGCATGCTTGTGTGCTTTCACTTTGAATAACTGATTGTTCTTAACACAGGTCAGATAGATGGACAGGAAATCACTGCAGCTGCTGTGCTGACTCAGCGGATCCGTCCTCCGCCTCGTAGACTGTCTCCTCCCCGCAGGATGCCCCCACCACCACCAATGTGGCGTCGCAGCCCACCACGCATGAGGAGAAGGTACCATCCACAAACAGTTTTTCATTCGTTCATTTTATATATGTTTAAATGTTAAACCGTTGCATCTTATTTTTGTTTAGGTCTCGCTCCCCAAGGAGGCGGTCCCCGGTACGTCGCCGCTCTCGCTCCAGATCTCCTGGTCGCAGGCGCCACCGCTCTCGTTCCAGTTCCAACTCCTCTAGATAATCAGGTGTCATACATTGAAAAACCAACAACATAATGTGATTATATAAGTTGTGACACCAGATCAACTGTAATTCTTGCTTCCTTAGATTTCCTGGACTCGTGAGAAACAAAACCATTTTTCTTGTAGTCATCTGTCTTTAGGACAGGAGCAAGTGTTGCTTTTTTTTTTCTTATCTATTTTGTGCTAATTTGCTTCTGAAAAGTTCAGTTTTGTGTCTCCTATGGGATATACCCACATTTTGTTTAAAATGTGACTTCTTTTTACCTTGTATTGAATTTTTAAAAAGTTTGAAAAATAAAAGTGCTGAACCATTAAAATCCCAAATGTTTTGTTTTTTTTCCATCTCAGAAGATGTTTCTCATTGTTCCCTTGTTTACATTCTCACATGGCTGATGTATGCAACTTAATGTTTAATAATCATTACTCTTTGTTCTTATGTTTTTACACAGACAATACAGTTAACGACTTCTCTGCAGTTGTACAATTGTTTTTCACAGTTTAGCAAAAACTGGATTCATGTAAAATGTAGTTACTTTAAATGGTTTAAGATAAAAGGATAAACAATATTTACAATATGTAACTAAAATATTGAAATGCAGATATTTATGTTTATTTGGGTTATAAACTCATTTATAAACCAATAAAACTTGAGGAACTTTTAGTGTCTTTGTGCGTTCCACAGATTGCGTCACATCTCGTCATATTGTCGTTCTACAAACGAGGCTTGGTGAGCACCTCAGACTGATATAAATAGGATTATGGGGTTCCAACTGTGGGGGTGTAGTTCAGTTGGGGGGGAGCAACAAACGTGTGAACTTGGATATTAAAATGTATGCAGTAAAATGCACACAAGTGGTCTTTGAATATGATCATTTTAATGTCACTTGTGGACAGACATTGCAGTTTTAACCCAGTATTAATCTGACCACTATTCTGTGAGTTTTAAGCTGTTTTAAAAGTTTGCACAGATAAACAATAATGTGATTTTATATAACTTCTCTGCAAAACAATCATCTGGTTTTACTCATTTTCATGAGTTTTTTTTAATAATGTGGCAGCAGATGTATTGCAGAAAGGATGACATCACTGTCATTCACAAACAAAATAAATATGCAAACGTTTATGTTAAATCCAGATCTAGTCCCCCGGCACAAACAGAGTAATATTGTGTATGTTGTTCAGTGTCAGGAGGGTGATCAGTCTTACATCGGGGAAACTAAACAGCCACTGGCCAAAAGGATGGCCCAGCACAGAAGATAAACAACATCAGGCCAGGACTCTGGTCTACACTCATCTCCAGGCCAGCGGTCACTCGTTCAGGGATGAAGATGTTCACATCCTGGATAGAGAGGAACGATGGTTTGAGAGAGGAGTAAAGGAGGCCAGGGGCGGACTGGGACAATAATCCAGGCCGGGAATTTTGATACCATCCCAGGCCACCACCACCTGATTAACGCAAACCACCAAGACTGAGTTCAATTGAGCGCACTTTGAATGCATGTTGTTTGCACACGTCTAACTGAGTTTTCACTTATTGACTATTTATATGTATTGGCTATTCATATAACAAAAAAAAAGGTCTTAATCTCAACGGAACTTTACCTGGTAAAATAAAGTTTAAATAAAATATTGTAATACAAGGATTTTAATATTCAGATAATTTATTGGAGTAATGAAGGGTATACACAAAATATCCTCAATAATCCAGGTAGAAATTCTAAAAAAGTTAAGTCAGGTCCTCTGGACAGATTAAAAAAAAAAAAAAACTTGTTGAAACGTTTAGTCTTTAATCCAAAAGACTGTCAGTTTGAGAAGCTGCAACAAACTTAGTTTCAAATAGTCTCTTTTCATAGTGGATCAACCAGTTTGTTGCTGACATCCAGAACTAGCTGTTAACATGATAAAGGAGGACCATCATCAGCCTAACAATGGATCGTTAGTGCTCTAGGCTGTTTGCTATTCACAGGGGGCTGAGAGATACCAGCAATAACAGCATTGTAAGAGGGCTACAGTTGGACACAGAGGCCTCTGTCCCTGTTTAATGATGGATGAGTTCTCATCACAAAGATGGCTTCCTTTACTCCTCTCTCAAACCATAGTTCCTCTCTATCAAGGATGTGCACATCTTCATCCCTGAAAGTGACTGCTGGCCTGCAGATGAGTGTAAACCACAGAGTTCTCCTGGCCTGATGATGTTGCTCTTTGGCCCAGCACAGAAGAGCAACATCTTCAGGCCAAGACTCGGCAGTTTACACTCATCTGCAGGCCAGCAGTCACTTTCAGGGATGAAGATGTGCTCATCCTTGATAGAGAGGAACTATGGTTTGAGAGAGGAGTAAAGGAAGCCATCTTTGTGAAAAGAAACCATTGTTAGGGGTTGTTAGGCTGCAGGTCTTCCTTATGTTAACAGCTAGTTCTGGATGTTAACAACAAACTGGTTGATCCACTATGAGAAGAGGCTATTTGAAACTGAGCTTGTTGCAACTCCTCAGACTGAACTTAGTTTTTTGGATTAAAGACAAAAGTTTCAACAAGTTTTTTTTTATTTGTCCAGAGGACCTGACTTAACTTTTTTAGATACAAAAAAATCTGAATTCCTAGACATTTCAACATTAAACTTTTTTCAGATCCTAACCCATATTATAAAATTTGCAATATTCTTTGTAAAAACTTAAAAACATTTGTTATATTAAGTCAGTTTTGGCCCACTTCGGTCCCTCAAAGTGAAGCTAGCATGTGGATATTAAGCTGTGCTGATAAACTGTGCCAGAGTTCAATTTTTTCAACACAAGTGTTTCTCTTACCTGCTCCATTACGAACAAACATTAATTTATAGCACTTAGCAGCATCCGCGGCCAGAGCTTTTCTCTTTTTTATCCTCTCTCTCTCTCTCTGCTCCACCTTTCCTCTTCTTTGGCTGTCTCTGTTGCTCCATTCTACAACTCAGAGATGCACGCACCGCGCGCCAACACCGTCGGGAGCGCGAGTCCTAGGGCGGGGAGGGGGGCGGGCGCAATGTGTGTGTGTGTGTCTCTGCTCTGTGAGTGACACACAGAAAAGGAAGGGAGGGGGCCGGCCCGGCCGGGGGATGTGCCAGGCTTTCTCCGTCGCTGCAGTGCAGCGTGAGACCTGAGCCCAGGCAAAAGTGAATTGTTTATTTAAAATAATAAAGTCCGTGCGACCCGAACCGAGCCTTTAGTCCCGTTCCTCGGCAACCAGGCCACCGGGAAGTGTCCCGACGCTCCCGATGGCCAGTCCGCCTCCTTAGGAGGCCATCTTTGTGAAAAGAAATTGTCCATCATTAAACGGGCGGAGGCCTCCGGGTTCAACTGTCCCCCTCTTACAATGCTGTTATTGCTAGTATCACTCAGCCCTCTGTGAGTAGTAAACAGCCATCAGTGTGCTAATGATCCATCGTTAGGCTGATGGTCCTTCTTGATCATGTGAGCAGCTGGTTTTGGCTGTCGGCAGCAAACTGGTTGATCCACTCTGAGAAGGTGCTATTTATAAGACTGAGCTGAATACAGCACCTCAGACTGAGGAAGTCTTTTGGATGAAAGATGAAACATTTCTACCTTTTTTTTGTTTTGTTTTTTGTTTTATTTTTGGTTTTTTGAATGTCCAGAAGACCAGACTTAACTTTTTTAGATTTTTCTACTTGGATTATTGGGCATGCATCAGGATGTTTATGTTAAATATTTTCCTCCTACATGTCAAACTCAAGCAAAGTCGGATTATTTATCGATCGCAGTGCAGGCCTGTTTGTTCATCTGCAACAAAACCCTCCTCCTTGGTTCTGATTCGCCAATTACGGAAGCGTAGAGCTGTCACAGGTAGTAAAATTATTTTTGAGCTGTATCTCGTTATAAGAGAGATACTTGTTATAACGAGTAAACTATGTCGTTATAATGAGATAGTTTTCTCGTTATAACGAGATACAGCTCAAAAATAATTTTACTTCCTGTGACAGCTCTACACTTCCGTAGCCAATCACATCAGGCTTCAAGAAAAGAAACGATAAAGACAACAATTACACATAATTTAATATTCACAAATTACATTTCTTCCTACCATCAGTATTTCATTCCACATTTAATTTTTTTGCATTTCAACATGTGTGTTTAAACAACCAACAAAGATTGTTTCTAATTTATCTTTCTATATACAAGAAGGGGAAACAAGGAAAAGCTCAATGTTTCCCAACAATTAACATTTTAAGAATGCTTTATTACATGCATGTCCACTGGTCTCCACTAGGGGGTGCTGCATTCCTTTATTTCCCACAGTGTAAACTGGACTGAGTTAAATTCTAGTTGGTTGTCTGGTAATTGTGTGTGCAGTCATACTTTTCCTGGAATTATTTATTTTTTTGTTATGATAGCTATTTTTTCTTGTTCATTGTACAGCTTCATTCCTGCCTTTTCTAAAAGCCCTTCCTGTCTTATTGAAACTGGGTGTTGACTGGAGTAAAAAGAAGTCACATCTCTTTGACCACAGGGTGTCTCACTCAGAGACAGCTGACATCAGTGGTGTGTGTGACTCCTGAAGACACAGACAACATCCACCGCAGAGCTCCGAGCTTCAGCTTCCTTCCTTCTAAAGATGACACCTTCAGCTCTGTCGGAGGCGCGTTAAGACGCACGTCTCCACAGTTTCTCTCTGAGGGCCACTGAGGATCTGAGCAGGTGTAGAAATAAAGACTCATGGCTTCTGAACTGGACAGGAACAGACAGCGTGTTAAACAGCTGCTGGAGAAACCTGGGAATGGAAAGTGTGTGGACTGTGGAGCTGCAGGTAAGCTGGAGCTGCTGGCACACTTTGTTACACTTTAATTCATTTTATTGCATTTTTTTCTGGTCCTTTAAGAACCCATTTAGACTTTTTCTGAACTACAAATTTATCTTCATAGTGTGTGTTCATGAGTTTTTAGTCAGTTAGCCACAAAGGCTGGACATGATGAAATAACGATCAGCTGTCACACTGAACATCATTTCTCAACACTTCTGCTAAAAATGTGAACATTTCAGTTAAGATCCAAGAGGTTTTTAATTTATTTAAAGATTTTTTGATTATTATGACAAAATACATGTAGTTAAAATGAGAGTGTGGTTCATTGCAATCAAGTGTCTTGATGCTGGTGTATGGTTTCTTCCACCATGATGGTCAAACAGGCTGTCCTAATGCTGCACACTGGTAACAAGTGTATGTATGAACTTTGTTTAGTAAAGATTTGGAAATGTAAAGAGGTTACTGTGTGTCTGTTCTTCTAGCTTCTTGAATTTTAGATAAATCAAGTTTCACGATCGTTAAATTGTAGATACTTGGTGCTCTCTAATCATATACGTGATGTTTGCATCCCATTTTCAGAGAACATCTTGATTTTTCTTTGCAAGTGCATTGGTGCAACTTTTTGCAGGAAGAGAAGTTTAAATGATTTGTTCATGTGTTAAATTTTTGTGCACTGCAAGTCAGTTGAGACACTTGTCTCAGTTTTCATTCAAGATTCACTGATCCACCCCCTTGATGCTCACTGCTGCAGCCGAGTCTCTCTGATCTGAGCAATGATTGAGAAAATGAGATGAAGTGGAAGAACAGCTTCATGCCTGCTGTCACTCACACCTTCACTGTGTAAAATAAGGTCACAGAGACAACCTTGTTAGTCACTTCCTGTCTGCTTTATTCTGTGCACATCTGGGAGTGTTCTTTTCTTGTAGAAGCTCTGACAAGTGATTTAGCTTTACATTTTATGTTTCAGCCTTTCTAAGATGTGTCCACTTTCTTTTTATTCTTTACAAGCATCTTTTTTACACTGCTATTACAGCTTTTCAAATAATCTGCTCACTGCATGTTTAGAACAAGAAAGTTATTTATATTGAACGTATCTGACTGTAGGAGGGTGATTATTGCTCAATTAAAACTTACTGTCACTTTACCATTTCCTGTGACGGCCATATCTACTGTACATGGCTACAAACTATAAATAAACTCAGTATTAATAAGCATACTCATTACACTCAAGTGCAACCCGTAATGGCTTCGAAAACGAACTTAAGAATGAATAATATGGACATTCTGAAGTTGGATTCTGTGGAAAGGTTATAAACAGTTAATATCTTACCTGTTGTAGATAGTTTTTGAATAGCATCCATTTGGGTTTAATTGAATGGACGAGCTAATCCAAGTTGGACCCAAGACTAGTAGTTTATATTAACTCAGCTTTGCATTCATTGTCGTCAGAACCTGCAGTTATTTATGTTGAATTCTGTGGTTATTTGTGGGTATTTGCAAGCTGTAACATTTACACAGCAGCTTAGAACAACCTCTGGCTGGAGACAAAGTCAACTTAATTTTTTTTTGAGGACACAAATTAAGTTGTTCAATTTATAAATAATAAAGACACTCAAATGCTCAGATTCCATATGTTTGTGTGAGATCAGGCTAAAAAAAATGCCTCTGCTTCTACATTTTGCCAATATTTTCATTTGAATTGGTTTAGCAATATGTCCATATGTTGCTTTGCAGACCCGGAGTGGGCATCCTACACCCTGGGAGTGTTTGTGTGTCACAGCTGCTCGGGTCTCCACAGAAACATCGCGCAAATTAGCAAAGTGAAATCCCTGCTGCTGGATCCGTGGAGCTCCTCTGAGTTAGAGGTGAGAACTTCTGCATCTTCACCCACTTAGAGTCATAAAACTTCTGGAAAGAATAAAAAGAAAAGTTTTGTGGGGGGTAAAAAAAAAAGAAGCAAGTCTTCATTTAAAAGTTGCCTTGAAGTAAAAACTATCCTCTGTTTTGACCCTTTTACATCCCACCATGCTCCACGGCTCTGTTGCTGCGATCTTGTTTGGACGAATACAACAAGTCATCAGTTTCAATTAAGCTTCATCTGAAATGCCCGAGCCAGCTGCTGGCAGACACAACCAGTGTCTTTGTGTTTATATGAGAAGGCATTTGTGTGTGCTCAGAATGTTTGGAAAATGAAGATTCCTTCTAAAACACACATTTATCAGAAAATATGAAGAAGTGTAATAACATGTATGACTTTCTTAGATAGATGTATGAAATTTTCAGCATCATAATGAAGTTTCCACTGGCTGCTTCTATGAATGTATACAACACTAAAGTTTGGAGTCTTCCATTATACGATGCAGCGTTAGATGTTCTTATTTGAGTGACAGGAGTTTCTGTGTTAATGTTGGTAATAGTTTATCTGCTTCAGTCCCTCTTTCCTGCAGGGTCCCACAAGGCTCAATTCTTGGGCCCCTTCTGTTTTCATTGTATCTGCTCCCCTTGGGGTTTATCCTGAGGAACCATGGTCTTTCGTTTCAATGCCATGCTGATGATTGTCAGATTTATCTGCCCTTAAAACCAAATAGTTCATGCACAATTCACCCTCTCTTGAAATGTATTGATGACATTAAGGCATGGATAGCTTCAAACTTTTTAAGTTTCAACAATCAGAAAACTGAAGTCGTGTTTAGCCCTAGCTCTACCGCTGTCTCTGTTCCTGTTGACTTTGACTCTCTTGAGCCAAGCAGTCTGTTTCAAATGTCGGGATGGTTTTAGACTCTGACTTTAAGTTTAATAAACAGATTAACTGTTCTACAGAAAAGCTTCTCCCAGTTAAGGCAGATAGCTAAGCTTAAGTCAGTGTTGACTAGATCTGACCTTGAAAAAATCATCCATGCATTTGTTACAACCTGGCTAGACTACTGTAACACACTTTATGTTGGGGTCAGTCAGGTGTCCCTTTCATGTCTCCAGCTAGTCCAAAATACTGCAGTTCAACTATTAACAGGAACTCGTAGGTTTGAGCATATTTCACCAGTTTTGTCCTCCCTTCACTGGCTCCCTGCGTGTGTCAGAATAGATTTTAAAATTCTCCTATTAACCTTTAAGTGCATAAATGGCCTTGTGCCCTTATACCATTTCTGACCTATTTCAAACATATGTTCCTTTTCGTGCCCTGAGGTCATCAGACCTGCTGCTTTTGGTTGTACCAAAAGACCAGGCTGAAAATCAGAGGAGATTGGGCTTTTTCAGTCACGGGTCCTAAACTCTGGAACAATCTGCCCATCAACATTAGACAGGCCACTTCACTCCCTGCTTTTAAATCTCTCTTAAAAACACACCTGTATTCACTGACGTTTAACACAGCATGGTTTGATTTAGTATTTAATTATTTCTCATTGTTTTTGTGTTTTTATGTTTTTATTTTGATGCTTTTAAATTACATCTTGTTATTTTTTTCTTTAATTACTGCCTTGAACCAAGGTAACAGCTGCAGTTTTAAATGTGCTTTATAATTCAATTTTACTTGACTATCCCTGTCTTCTTTCTCACAAATGTTGTTAAATACATGAAATGCATTTCTTATTAGTTGTTTCTGTTGTCCTAAAAAGTCAACCACGTCACCACTTCCTGTGCTCTCGTTTTGTATGTGGTCAGTGTGTTTGTGCAAGTGCCATTTAATGCTTCCCACAAAATACATTAACATGTGTATTAAGAAATGCTACACCCAAAAGCAGCACTGTTGCTGCTAAGAGGGCAAGCAGGTAGAAAAGTGTTGTTAATGTCTATTATAACATTTCTGTAAACTCATTTCATCTATGTGGTCATGATCATCTAGTTTCTAATGCAATTTAATTAAAGGCCTTGAAGAAATACATATCATCTGTTGCCTTTAACGAGAGTTTTAATCTAAACTCCTAGAATGAGAGGGACATAGCTGTTTCCTTCAGAGCCCGTAAAGGATGTTAGTCACAATCTTATTTAATATTGTGAGATCTTGTGTGATCAGTTAGGGCTTCAACTATAGCCATTTTTATATTAGGCTGCTTAGTTGTGGTGGCCATTTTTAATTGGATTGACACCACAAGCTATTGAGCCGTAGATGGACAGACAATTATCAGTTCTGATGAGTTTTACTGAAATCTGTCCACTGGTTCATGAAACGTTTTGCTTATGCCTCAGACAAATGAACACAGCCCTTTAGCAGCAAGGGATAATAAATATAAATGCTATGTGTTTGTCATCATTGTATGTCCCCATAGAATGAAAAAAAAAATTAGTTCTCTGCATTTAACCCATCACACATGAGATACACTCAAGTGAAGCAGTGGACAGCTAAGCGCCCATGGAAATATTGTATATACATATATATATATATATATGTATA